CTGAGAGGTCAAGGAGAACCAGGATGGATGCATGGCCTCCAGAGATCATCGGTCAATGCGACCAAAGCGGTTTCTGTGCTGTAACCAGGTCTGAAGCCGGACTGGAAGTCAAAGATCCATCTCCTGCACCCATAAGTCCATCACGTGGTCCAATCACTTCAACACCCCAACTGGAGACAAATCCCAGTCACTCCCATCCAGGTACAGGCCAAATGATATTGACTCCCAGAGAAAGGAATGTTGTTATAGCTAATCCTCCACCACTTCTCGCAACTCCCCCTCCCATTTTCCCATGCACTAAATGTTGAAGCCCTGAAGCTCCAACAAAAATGATGGCTTCCAGGGCTGACACACACATCATTTGAATAGCAAAGAGAAGGACATGCTTATGATCACTGAAGGCTTTAGTTAATTTCTAGTTGTTTTTGCTTAACTGAAAGTGAAATTCAAGTTTCAATGTGTAAAAACAAATTGAAGATTGCTTCAAATATCTAGAGCTGGGGTGTCAAACTTACATCATCATGGTGGCATCACGTGACATATCGGGACTTTTCCCCCTTTGCTAAACTGGGCATGGGTGTGATGCATCTGGCAAGTGGGCCGTGAGTTTGATCTAGAGAAACATATTGAGCTTGGGGAGGGAAGTACAATTAAGAATATTGAGGGCAGAGCTAGCATGCATGAAAGTTTATGTGCATTGCATATTTCTTATTCAAATGTAATATCTGATTTAATTTATGGTTCCAACTTCTAATCACATTTGGATTAATGATTTGGCTTCTCCCTGTACAATAGGCATTTTCGAATATCAAGGAAAAATCATTAGTTACAACTTAAAAAAAAACAATATTATTTATACTTGTGCTACTTTAATGTCCTCAAATTATACCATATCCACAACTGGTTGTTAGTTAAGTTGTACATATGCATAATGACAGAAATAATTATGCATGCATGAGATTTTATAAGTCTTCAAAGAGTATGTTCTAGAGACCTGTTTCAATATACAAAAGGTAACATATTTTACATTAACTTCTGATTTATACTTCAGAAGCAATCTTCACTCAACAAACCAAGATGCATAAGTGGGCATGGCTGATGTGTACACATTCTGTGAGACTGTGCATACATTCTTACAGACAAATATACACAGAGACAATAACTCTGAATCCCCTTTTCTCCATTAGGCTGGCAGATTCAAGTTTAATTCTGCTTCATTTGGCTTGTTTAATTTCCTTTAGAGGAAACAACCGCAGGACCCAGTTAAATGGCTTGTTATCATGGATTCCTATACCAACAATAATTTTTATGCCATATCCTAATGATGGTGCCTTTTCCTTATACCCTGCCCATAGCTCAGTTAACTCAAGGCTTTGTTCCAGTTTAAATTAATATTTCTCCTCTTCTACCAACACTAAAAGTTTAACTGACAATGGATTTGCTGAGACATCAAATTTGGGATCTTTTAGGCTGCTTTAGCATGAACTTTCTTCTCCAGTTGGTAAAAAGTTCCTTATCTGGCTAGTTTGAATGTGTTTTTGTACAGCCAATTGCCAATGTAGGTAGTTCTTATTTAGTAAAAGCAAAGTTTTATATTTAGGCAAAGACAGTA